TTGAACAAACGGTCATGAAAAGATCAGATCCAGGTCGCATATGGGCAATAAAATCGGATTTGGGTGACTTCAGGCGGCTGTGTGACGTAGCCTAAGAGGCCATGGAGAAGGCTCTGGATTAGTCCCAAACATTCAGCAGCCATAAACGCTCCGGTTGCAAGTTGGAAAACAAGGGGTTTGTTGTGCGATTTGGTGCTAATTGCTGTTAGCAATACAGCTGAAAGTTATATTTCTCTCCATTTTACAAACAACAGAAACATCTTATCAAACTGAATAACTGAAAGTCTGTACTTTTTAAGGGCCATAAAAAAGTGCTAATCAATGATGCACTACGTTCTATGTGAGCACAGCCATATTGGACAGGTAACCCTGTTCCTCACCCTCAGGTGTTTCTGATCCATAAATCCATCAAACTGGTGAAACTTCTCTTCCCACTGGTTCCTTCACCTCCTGATTCCAGGAAGCGTCTTCAGATTTGGACGTTAAGGTCCTCGTAGCTAAACTGGTCCAACGCTTCTGAAGCCAGAGCTGCTCCAACTCGCGGCGTGATGATTCATCTCATCTTTCTGTCCGTGAACGTCCTGATTTTTGTCTCCGTCTGCTGAACGTCTCCATCCTCCACTGGCGAGCCATCCCTCTCCTGAGTTCTGCATGCTTTGCACTGGTTTTGGTTCTCCTCGGTTTGCCGGTAGAGTTTTAGGAAAGGTGTTTTCCTGACGGCGTTCCCCTCCTCCCGCTTGTTCTCCAGACCTTTTCCCTCATGTTGGCCTCCTCTCACTCTCTCTCTCTCTCTCTCTCCTCTCTGTGCCCGGCTTTGTTCTGTTGGACAGGAACCGATGAACGAGCAGAACTTTGACACGTATGTGAGCACTCTGACTGACATGTACACCCACCAGGACCAGTACCAGAGCCCGGAGAACAAGGCGCTGCTGGAGAACATCCGCCAGGCCGTTCAGGGGATCCAGGTCTGACGGGGAGCAGATCTGAGCTGCTGCTGTTTTTTTTTTCTCCTCTCCGCTCCATCGGTGTCTGGTTCTGTTCTCCTGGTTGCTGTTGCTTTGCTTTGGACCTCAACCATCTTGTTCATGTGACCTGAAATAATGTGACGTCTTGTTTATAGCGGCTCATCCTGTAAATGGATTTATTTATTTCCTGTAAGCTTATTAAAGGACCGACCGGGCTTTACTGGTTCAACTGGGAGCCAAGCAGAGACGCGTGGCGGGAATGTCTGCAGTCGGACTCCAGCGTTCCTGTAGATCTTTCTCTGCTGCAGATCCCATCATCCACTGGGCCGGTTTCCTTTCTGACTTTTATTTTGAAATGCAAACGGCTGCAGGAAACGTAGGAGACAATCTGCCACCTGACTGGACTGCTGACCCTGTGTGAGAGGAACCGTGTGGGATTATGCAATTTCTTACGAATCGGTGAATGAAGAGCTGAGCGACGTTTTTACTGACGATAAATGTGATCATTTTGTATAAATCTTTTCCTACATCTGTGTTTTAGGAACCCGACGCCTCTGTTCTCATGTTTAGATGTTTTATTCTGAGCTTCTCTGGATTTACAGGGTTAAAAAAAAAAAGTATCTGGGCTTTGGGTCGCCATGGCGACCTGAGGGGACATTTCCTCATCACACCTCATCATGCATGCACTTTATGGGAGCACGTTCAGTACCGTCCCGGCACGGCTCCGCTTCTCCCCCAAAGGAAAACTCCCTAAAACCTCCTTATATAAGCAGAGGTGTTTAGTAATAAAGTACAAATACTTCATTACTTTAGGAGTAATGTTAACTATCTAAACTTCACTGGAGTAATTATTCTTCGTTAGTTTTCTTTCATTTAAGCTCATTTTCTTTATGGCCTGATGTATTCAAAGAAAATAAAAACCATCAAAATAGTTCGTTTCATTCAGACAATTAATTTCTTTGTGGTCGGACTCGGTGCTGCCCCAACTTGTTGTTCACCACATACCAAAATAAAAGACAATGCAAAGTTGAATTTGACACCGTTACTATTAGTTATAAAACTAAAGAAATGAAGTCTAAAGCCTGGTTTATACTAACAAACCAGGTCGCAGTTAATGCAGATATGCCCCGCCCCCCTGACGCAGACACGCTGGTGCTCCTCCGCAATTTTTAGGTGACCACAGTTCTGCAGACAGGAGGCCTCTGATTGGTCAA